GTTGGTAAGTCATATTGTTTTGAAGGTATTTCTTGTCGTCTATCTGGAGAAGGTTTATGTTCTCTATGAACAAACCATGCAGGAGGGCCAAGTGCTTGTTTAGGTTGCGTTGATGCACCTTCTTGTTGGGAATCACCATCAGCATCAGTTGAACTATGTTCACATAAACCATCCCACCAAAGGGGTCGTGGATAAGGCACCGGTTCTTTGCTTTTACGTGTTGCTGGATCAACATGATTGAGAAAATTTTGGCTAATACCTAATTTACATCGTCGTATATAATCTGTATCAGTATCTCGAACATACATAACTTTTGGTTGGTTAAGTGTTGCTTCATCATCGAATACACCATTGAGATATGGAATTTGTGATGGTGGAGGAGCTGTTACTAATTCACGATTACCTTTCTTTAATGGTGAATGTACATACCAAATTTCATCTTCAGGTTTTCGACGTAAATAAGACATTTTCTAGTTTGAGAAAAAAATACGGTTACGGTATGTAATGTATCTTCGAACATTTTGTTTTCATACTTAAAAGTGTTTCTCTACCAATAACCTCTAGTAAAAAATACATTGGTAGATGGCACCAGAAATTCTTAAACTTTCATAAAAATGATGGATTCTATGTGATCTGCATTTCAAAGAGTAGCTGGAATTAATAATAATAAAAAAGTAAATGAAGATGAAAATGATAAAATGAAACATGATATGATAATATTATTTGGTTCAACTGATAAGAATAATGATGTACCATTAATTAAATTTGATGGTGATGATCTTTGAATGATTTAAAATAAGATTAAACTTTTAAAAGAAAAAAGAATCAATTATTATTTTACTCTAAATTTCAGCTGTTTTTTTGTCTGCTTATTCAATACATATATTTATTTATCTATGATAAAATTTTCGCCAAGAAAATTGGCTTACATAATTAAAATAGAATATTATTTAAATTAATTATATTTAAACTATTATTTGTTGGAGTGTAATATTAATGAAATAATATTTATAGAGTTCCATCAATAAGAAAATATTATTTCATTTATTATCTAAATGATATATTGTATTTCTCATCTAAAACATATGGGTTGTATAAAGATAATGTTTTAGTCAAAAATTGAAAATATGAAATATTTCGTTACATAGATATTGTTTCATCTGAATAATACCATTATTTACATATATTTTTATATTTGTCAAATCTTTGCTGATCTGTGGAACTGAAGACAAAACCATGTGTACATTTCTACTATTATTACTACTAGTTTTCTTTCAAAAAGAATCTATTTTCTTATTTTATTTTGCATAAGATTGATCAAACACAACAAGTTTTACATAAAACTGTTCATTCTGTTGATAAAGACAACAGGATCGATGAAAAACTAGAGCATTGATCATTGAATTAAACATGCTCTACTGTTAACGACTGTCGACTATTTCTTATTGTTTGAATTTTTTTTTATTCTTCTTCGTGAGATGATAGTGATAATTGTTTCTCTCTCAATCTGGCAATGTCTGCTTCACCTCTCTTCACCATTTCATGTTCCGGCCCATAATTAGCTTGATAGATCGAAAGACTCTCATTGAAATAACGAAGTGCTTCGGATAAATTGTTCATATTTTCATAATATATGCCAATATTTCTTAAGCTTATTGCGATGTTAGTGTGATCAGAAGACAATGTCTGACGATCAATTTCAAGTGATTTAAGTTCACACCGTAATGCGTCTTCCATCATATCATAATTGGAATATAGAAGACCCATTGATGTCAAACATTGAGAAGTGACTTGATAATCAGATGGTGTGCAATTCTCCAATACAGATAGAGCTTGTTCATAGTATTGTAATGCTTCGTTGTGATTGTCGTTCTCAATTAAATCAGCCATAGTCATTAATGTTCGAGCAATACGAGGATGATTTTCACCCAATCTAGTTTTTTGAATAACAAGTTTTTGTTGACACAAGTCTAAGACTTTGTCAATCTCGTTCATCTTTTTATAAATACGGATGATCCAATCGAAATGATTTGAAAGATCTGAATGATCGAAAGGTAAACATTGTTCTTCCATATTTAATTGTTGTTGATAATAATCTAGAGCAATATCTAAACTACCGTTCTTCTCATGAGCATATCCTATTGAACCGAGACATGATGCTATATCAGGGTGTTGATCAGGCAGAACATGTTTATACATCTCGAGAGCACGAGACAAATAAGTAAGAGCCGTATCGAAATCTTCTTTATCTATGTATACATTCCCAATATTTTCTATTCTCATTGCTTTTTGTAGATTATTACCAGGATACAAGTTTTCCGCAATTCTCAAAGCCTGTTGCACATAATCGAGCGCTGTATTAAAATCACCTTTTGCTCTATAAATACCACCAATACTGTTGAGTGAATCAGCAATGTGAGGATGATTTGAAGGTAGTTGTTTTCGACGCATCTCATTAGCGATCTCATAGTTTTTCAATGCTAAATTCAATTCATCTCTCTTCGCATGTACTGTACCAATATTATTATAAACAGCTGCAATATTAGGATGATCATGTGGAAGTGATTTCAATAACATGTTAAAATATTTTCCTGCACGATCCACGTGACCTAATTCGAGCATGAGAAGTCTACCAAAATAAATAAGTGGTGTGTATTCTTCCATCTGTTGTTTCGATAATAAAAGATATTCTTCAACTTTTTCTGCTCCTTCATCGGTTGTATTCAATTCTACTTTCCATACAGCAAGTGTAGAATCAAAACAGACAGAAACAATCTTAAAGAGTGAATTGAGATTGAAAAGAACTTCTTCTTCACCTTTTATTCGACTTCTGTCTCCAACATCAGTAAAAATCACTGTTTTCAATAACGGATTTGCTTTAATTTCAAATAGGACAGATATAAAATCATTTGATTGAGTATTCATATGAATAAATCCGAGTGATACATTGATATTTCGTGATGTTGATAGAAATCCATTTGTTGAAATAGTTTTACCAATATTTTCTTTTATTTTTTCTAATTCTTCATTTGGAATCTGTGTTCCGCGATACAAAGTTAATGTTCCTTTATTTTTCAAATGATGGTTTTCTTGTTCAATAGCTGAACATAAATCAATAATAAAGAATCGAAAAGTAAAGAGTAATTCAATATCTTCAGTTCGAAGTGCTTTATTTAATAGTTTATAAAGAAAACATTCATCTGTATACCATTCAATTGCTTTGTCACGAGTATAAGTATTTTGAAATTCTTCAATCTTCTTTAATTCTTGTTTATTCTGTTTATAATAATCGCGACACATATCGAGCATTTGTTTTTTTGATAGTTCATCTTGTGACATTTGTTTTAGAACATAAATTAACATTTGATGTAATAGAAATGATGCTGATACTTGTGATAAATCTTTTGATGACTTTTGTTTTTGATCAAGAAGACTAAATGGTAATGTTTGTTTTTCAACTAGATTCATTTTTTGTTTGATTGATTTTAATAAATCATGTTGATCACTAAATATTCCAGTAATTTTATTATATTCCTCCATTAATGGTTTATAATGTTGATCTTCAGAGCAAAAAATAAATATAGCAACCAAAGATCGATAATGATGAGTTTGTAAAAGTATACGTTGAGCAAAAGCACCTGAAACTATAAGAAAGATTTGTTCATCTTTGATTGATTTGATTAAATCGAGACATCGATCAAAATCAGAATAAAACTGAACAGCTGAATTGAGTTCAATTAACATTGTTTGAGTAAGAAGATAATCATCTGAATCATTCATATTTCCATCAAACCAAATCAATTGAATATCTTCTTTGTTATTTGAAACTTCGTTTGGAAGAAGATTCTGTCGTTTTTCATTCGATGATTCACTAGTGGCCATTATAACTAGTAATCACTTTATTATTATCGTGAAAAAACTCTCAACAAAAATATTTTATTTCAGAGTCTTTTTATTTGTGCGTTGCAGAAGCAAAACATTTCTTTTCTTTCTACTTTTTTTCCAACGTCGACTGATGAATAAAATCGATGAAAGTGTCGTACGAAAACTGTTTCGAGTTGTTTTATGAAAGCGAACGTTGTACTTTTGCTTTTTTGAAGATTGAAATAATGTTTTCGGTTGTGTTTTTTCTTTTCTGAGTGATATGTTTGATTATTCGGCACAGGTTTAGTAAAGAAATACTTTCCACTAACGTCTGATGAATGTATACGGACACACTCATACATCTATATTGTATAGATAACTGTAGAAAAAATAGACATTAGCTATTTTATTGTATATTTTCATACACTGCTCAGGCTATATAGTCTTTGCCACTAGGCGTAAACCGCATCTAAACCGTTTGGTTTGGTGATCTTGATTGAATGAGTTTCTGTCTTAGTCTAGATTAAAGATTCAACCGTGATTAACAATTGATGTTTCACTTTGCATTAGTTATATATACATATATGAAACAGAAGTCTTTTTCTACTTATTTTTATATATAGATGATAATTGAGAAGCGAAATTGAAATAATGTTTATAGTATTGAAGTTTTCTCAAAATCTATGCTTCACAGACATTTTAGACATCTGATGCAATTTTCTGATGTTGGTGAGAGTGAGTGTTATATTCCTTTCTCCACCTCGCCATCTCCCATAAAAATATAAGAAAAGTTATGTAATAAAATCATAGCACTACTGATCACTATTTTACATGAACTATCAAGTAAAATTACCCAAATGTATTCTAGACACATATTGTGGTCAGAATCTGTCAGACATATGCTAAAAAATATGACTCTCAGTTTTGTTTATATTCATATGTATTTTTTTATCGTTATATATATATATGGAAAATCAAAATATATAAGATTTATATGATCATCAAATGGTATGTTGTTTGTATAAATATATAACTATCAAATTTATAATAGCTAAGATGAATGAAAAATTTTAGAATTGATTTTAAATTTAAGTACTCTTATTATTTGAAAAACAAACAATACAAAAAAGAAAAATTCACACAAGTACACTAAGCGAACAAAATTGACACTGTTCAGAATTCATTGTTGTATTTGTAGATACTGATGTTGGTGGTGAATTGCTATCAGTTTTTAAAGGACGATAGGTTCGATGATTATTTTGTACATTATAATCATCATGTAATATTTCTTGATAAATATGATAATTTTGTCCATTAATACAAGCTGAACCTGAATCGGTTGATGATGTACCACTACTATGATAATGTGTTGGACATGTACATTGAGTTGATAGACTCGCTTGATAACTAATAGGTCTTAATTGATGATGATGATGAAGAAGAGGAGGAGGTGGTGGAGGAGGATAAAAATGTTGTTGTGATTGATTTGACCATGGAATTGTATTCGTTGGTGTTGGACGAACAAGAAGTGATTCACTTTTTGAATCATTACTTTGATGATATTTTGATGAATGTAAATGACAAAATAATAAATATGGACAACGTGATATAATTAAAATAATACATGTTAAAAGAATAAGTACGAATAGAATACCAAATATTGATCCAATAATAATACTTTTTGTTGGTTCATTCATAAGCCATGATTGTTGTTGTGATTGTGATTGTGATTGTGGTAGTTGTTCTTGATCTGGATCAATAATAAGTGATGATTTTAATGTTTGTGTTGATGTTATATATAATTGTTTGCAAACTTTTTCATAATCTATTTTTCGAAGAAGATATAAACATATTTCACCTTGTTGAATATAATCTATTGTATAATTTCGTTGTAAAATATCAAGTAATTCACTCAATTTATATACTGGAGAATTTGTACTTATTTTAAATCCATTTATATTATGGTGTTTTAAATATTTTCGACGATATTCAATATTAGGATTTTCATCGACTATCGAAGGAAATAATTGCCATTGAATAATTAATTGAGTTTTATTAACATTTGGTGTTATTATTAAATCCGATATTCGTATAAGTTCTAATGGAAATGTATCAGTAGTTGTGTTTTGAAATGATTCTTGCCGTCGATCAATATCATTCGCAAGTTTTTCAACTCTAAAAAATAATTTGTTATACAATTATGAAGAGCATCAATCAATCAAACTTACATATCCATTGAAGTAGTTTTCGCTGTAGTAGTTGTGGTTGCTGTTGTTGTATCTTTTTCACTATCAATAATTGTTTTAGTTAAATAATTACATTGTGATGTCGTCATTATACTACATGTAAATTGTTCATTGGGTAATTCATTTAAATTAACATTTCGTCGTTCTGGTGGGGATTCACATTGACCAGTTAGTTTAATTTGTTTAAAATTTCGCTCCATTCGACAATCACAATGTAATGGATTTTGATCAAGTTCAAGTGTAAGAAGATTATGATAGAAATTTAATGAATGTTTCTCAATTGTACATAATTGATTACGTCGAAGAGATAAGATTTGTAATGTTTCATTAAGTTTTATTAAAAGTGGAAATGTTTTTAAACTATTATTTCTTAAATCTAAAAAAAAGAATTTTATAAATATTTTTTATAAAATAATAATTCTACTTACCAAGTGATTGTAAACGTGTATTTTGAAATGTATTATAATCAATGAATTCAATTTGATTATCACGTAAATGAAGTCTTTCGAGTGATACTAAATTTGAAAAGATTTTCTTATCTATTTTTGTACCAAGATAATTTCCATCTAAATTTAATTGTTTTAATTTCGGAGCATTTAATGGTATTAAAAACGATAAATAATTTCGATCTAATTCAAGAATTTCCAATGATAAAAATGTATTTTTTATTTTCGAAGATAATTTTGTTAATTTATTTGATGATAAAAATAATTTCTCTAAATATTCAAGTCGAGTTAATACGGATAGATCAAGTTGATTTAAACGATTATTTTTTAATGATAAAATTTTTAAATTTAATGGAAAATTTAAATGATCAATTGATTCAAGTCGATTATAATCTAAATAGAATTCACGTAATTGATTTAAATGTATTAAAAATGTTAATTGTTTTTCCGTTAATAATTCATTATTTCGTAAATTTAATATTTCAAGTTGAGATGAAATTAATTCAAATATATTTTCATCAATTGTTTCAATACCTAGAAGAAGGAAAAAATAAAGAATATAAATTTTATATATTTAAAATTATTTACCATTGTAAGATAAATCAAGTTCTGTTAAGGAATTTGATGGTGTAAGAATAGTTGATGATAATGATGAACGAATATTTAAATGACGAATTTTATTTTTACTTAATATTAAAATTTTTAATTTTTTTAATGATGATATTAGCGGAATATTGAAAGATTCCAAACGATTTTCTGATAAATCTAATCGTTCTAAATTAGGAAATAAATTAATAAAAATTTCTATATCATCCATTTGTGTAATTGAACATGACAGTAAAGATAATTGTGTTAATTTTCTTAATATTAAACTATTATTATTATTTGAAATATTGACTAAATTTGATAAATCAAATAAACGTAATGATAAACGTTTTAGATTTGGTAATTCAACAAGAATTTGTGCAAATGTTTTTGACGTTAATTGTGATGTACGAAGTGTTGTTGACAGAATAAATTCTTCTAAATAATTAGCTAAATCAATAAATGCATGAGTTTCAATTTGATTTATTGGATTAGATTGTAATTCAAGTTTACGTAATTTTAAACCATTAAATGCATTTTTATTTACATTAGATATTTTATTACCGGATAAAACAAGTTCATCAAATATAATATTGCCTTTAAAAATAAAAAAGAGAAAAATTTCATATTTTCTTATCTTGTTTTAACTTACTATTATCAAAATGTGGTATATCAATTAATTGTTTTCTGGCACAATATATATAAACACGACCTGTTTCAGTTATTGCACATCGACATTTTGATTGAATATTAAATGGAATAGGACAAGTTAAGATTTGTTTAATTACAGTTAATATTAAAGTATAATAAACATATCGAATAAACATGATTATCTGAAAATAGAATAATATATAAAGACCTTCTAGCATACTCAAGGTTTCTAATACTTAGACTCGCTGCATGAAACTTTTTTAGCTAAGTATGAGAAAATGTCTGACAGAGATATTATAAAAAGAATGTTGTGGTTTTCACTAAATATTAACAATTATATTGTTACTAGTGAAGATAGAGACCTCTTCTACTTTCGCGATCTATGTTAGTACTTATTATAACATGCATAATCTTGTCATGTTTCTTTTTATTTCTGCTCGCTCTAGTTTTCTTCTTTTTTTTCCCGTTAGTTACATGTTCGCTACTGATTATGAAATAAGCAGCCGTCGTAAAGAGTGCTTATTTGCATGAACGATAGATGGATTTTGACACCATAAGCCTTGATGATGAGAGCTAACACTTATTCTTAATCTTGTTCGACTATTCTCAAGAGGCTCGTCACAGAACGATCGTGGCGGAAATCGAAAATGACAGTACCTTTACTAAATTAGATGTGTATGCAGCAAGTTGTGATTGTGTGTTCAATTAGAACAATAATAAATAATTCATACTATGTATATAAGTAAGGAGATGTGCGTGAATGAATGTGTAATGTCCATCAAAGTGAATAATCGGTCAGCAAATGATTACATCATACATATGGTTCGATAGATAAACACAAAATTTATGGAGACAAAAAATATACAGTTTCTTTCTAATTATATCACGAGAAAGGAAAGAAGAAGGAAAAGATGTCAATTATCTGTTTTTAGCAACTAAGAAAATGAATGATAGATAAATCTTTGTAAACGACGTCTTCACACTCGTGGTCAAGCGGTTTCTTCTTTTCTCATAGAAGAATGTGTCAATTAATGATGGCACTTTAGTGTGAAAATAGAAAGAGTGTAAGCATACACACATATATACATTCACAATGTCATTACGTGTACAGAAGAAGAAGAAAAAGCATCTTTATACTTTCTTGAGGGAAAACGAAGAAGAAGAAGAAGAAGGAACAGCTGGAAATCAACTAAACTCATCTTGATGTTGATGACGTCCGATTCACCAGAGAGAAAACCAAGACGAAGAAGAAGAGTGTTGATCATTGTTGTTATTGTTGTTCTACTTAGCAGGTGGTTGATTTTTCTTATATAATATATTTTTTTCGCTGTTTAACTACTGAGCCGTTACGAATAGATACTGTCTTGATTAACGAAGGTCTTTTTCTTTATACAAGACAATTACATAATGGATATAAAGGACCTCGGTTTGTTTCTAATTTGTGCAATTATTATTCGTCATAAAGTCGTATCTACACAGATTACAATATGTGATTAGTGAATACTCGAATTAATCAGTAATGAAGGTTCTCTATCTTTATATATTGTATCACATAAGATGATTGTTAACGTCAAATATTTACGTATATTGTCTTTATGTCCTGCTGCTATACAATCATAGAGTTGAAGACCACTCATAGTCAATCAATGACAAGTACCTGCCGTGTATAAGAATGAATGAATGAATTGAGTAGCCATTTGAGCAAAGGTTGCATCATGTTAATCGAACTCGACAACGATTGCACTCATGATAGATAATACACTTTTCATTATCCCTCTATGTGTCTCTTGAATTAATTCGAAACGTATGTTTCTTTTCATACATTTATACATAGATAAATTTTTTTTTCTACTTACCTCTATTGTCATTTAACAGAAGAAGTCATTTCCGTTAATGATGACATATAATGATCTATGTTTATATATATATATATATATGTATATGTACGTGGGTGTGTGCGAACTGCAAATGGTGTTAGCTATTCATTCATTCATTTTCATTTCCTTTTAATAATCATGATAATAGAAATTAACATGCGTTCACACACGAGTCTCATGTCTAGTCAAATGTAGATTTTTCCAATAGAGACGCAATGTGAGAAGATGAATGACCAATGGCTCTATTCTAATCGAATTGAGTCACTAATCCTATATTGTCTCGACTCAAGTCATCGGATACGTACAGATATAGAAATAATATAAAGTCAGTCAGTTTCGATTTAATGAAGTCGATATGTAGTGAAGAAAAAAAACGAACTAACAATCAGATAGATAATTATGGTACATGCATCATCTTCATGTCGTTTGAGTAAAAGAATAATCAATAACCTACCTCATCGGTCAACATGTCGCCTTCTTTTCTTTTCTTTTTTTTATTCGATTCGACATAGTCCTTGATTTTAATAGGTTTTTCATCGACTATTATTATACCTTTCTACGCACAAGTATACTTTTCTTTTTTCCTTCTCTATATAAGACCGTTCAATGTGTCTACTGTCTCTCTCTCGTTCTCTCTATGTATGTCTTATATACATATATTACCTATTTCTTTGTCAATGATGCGCGCAATCTGAGTCGACTATGATTACTTTGCTTTTAAGTTTTTTTTTTCTTTTGTCATTGTCATTGTCATTATTGTACGATTTAATTATTATTTTTTTATTTCATTCACTAATAGCTACCGTTAAAAATGAGACAGAGGAGGTCAACAATTGTTCTTTAATATGTGCAATATTCAGACGACAAAGATTGTCTAATTATCAATTGCTTCTATACTTTGCAACCATTACACATTTTTTGATGACGTGTGAAACAGCAAAAGGTTCATTAGATGAAATTTCCAAGGTAAAAAGGAAAAGAATGAATAACCTTCAGATTTGAATACTAGGGGTTTTTCTTTCTAATTGAATGTACATATAAAGATATATATATTTGATCATCTACTCATTACGATTATAAGCACGTACTAACCGACTTAAAAATTATCTTTTCGCGTACTGCCTTAAGAATAGAAACAATAATAGAATGTTTATTGTCATTGTCAAACGTTTGTTTTCTACATATTGATATAAAAAAAAGAAAGAAAAGTTGTGCTAAGCCTTCGACACAGATGTGTATATACATTTGATTATTCAACTATATTTATCTATTTTGTTAATAGATAAATAAGCATATATGTATATAAACTTTCTTTGAAATATATTCGATATCGAAGTGTTTTGCTTATGAATAAAAGGAAAAGCTAAAAAATCAATTTCGCATTTTCTTTTTTTTGATCATATAGAATTAAAAAGTAAACAAACATACTTTCGATGATGTATAGAAATTCGAACCCGACACTTATAAAATAACGAGAAAAAAGATCTCGATTTAAAATGATAATAGTGATCTATTGTTGATATTTTGACGTTTATATTTGTCTCTATTGTTCTTATCGGCTTGTTTGACCCGACGGAGACGTCTTATAAGTGTCAAATCTACGTTTGTTATTTGCTTATGTAATCCATTAACCTCTACAACTACTATCAAATAAAAGCCAACACAAAAGAAGAAAGGTTCAGCTCGTCATATACAAACTAATCGATAGATTCAAAATTCTTTTTACGTCATATACATACTTATTCATTAACTACTACTTGAGACATGTACTACATCGTAATATCAATGTAATATCTTTATACGTATATCTATACCGAATTTATGAAAAAAAAA